CATATATTTACATTATTGTTTTCCTAACTAAATATTGGATAGAAATTATTTTTCTGAGCAAAGTACCCGACTTGTACCTTGTTGATAAGAAGCATTGTCTAGTTTTAAAGAGCTGCTCAGGTCGTACCGTTTGTACTACAACTCTGTAATTTTTGTACGATATTTCTGAAAGTGTTTTTAATGACATCAAATACTAAAATTGATGTTTTCGGAACAAATACGCGATGTATAAATGTTTTTCTGAACACTTATTTATTTTAAACCCTCAAATATGAAGTATTTTTTACATTAAAATCTAACTTTGTTTAGAAAGTACAATATATATATATATATATATATATATATATTGAGTTAAATATTTGAAAAAAAAATCATACAAATGAGCTAAGTCTTTGAGCATAGATAAAAGAAGAGTATTTGAGCTAAAGTAGGGAAGTAACTAATACAAAAACGTAGCTTATTTTATTCAAAATATGTTTGAGAGTAATTTGAATTGAAAGCCATTGATAATCTAATGTTCCATTAGATTATCTACAAATTGTTGGCCAAAAATAACGTCCGAAACGTACACAAATTAAAATTTAATATGAAGTATTTTTCACATTAAAATCAATTTTGTTAAGAAAGTATATATTAAAATAATAAATATTATATATATATATATATATATATAATTTGAGTTAAATATTTGAAAAAAAAATATCATACAAATGAGCTAATTGTTTATGAACTAAAGTAGATTAGTTACTCTACAAACTAACACAAAACGTAATTTATTTTATGCAAAATATATTTGAGAGTCATTTGAATTTAAATTTATTGATAATCCCGTATTTGATTATTACTTTTATAAGGCGTTTTTTGTCTTGTACTGAAGATAAATTTAAATCTATTGTTAATTTTATGTTTCATTAGATTATATACAAGTTGTTGGCCTAAATATGGACAAAATAACGTTCGAAATGTGAATAAAATTAAAACAATATTTTACCAATTTAAATTCAAACTCGTTCCTGCCTTCAAAATCCTCACGTGGCAACTTCACACACATCATACAACTTTAATATTAAAATAAACGTAGATTATTTTATACAAAATATATTCGAGAGCTATTTTAATTTAAATCTATTGATAATCTGATGTTTCAATAGATTATCTACAAATTGTTTTTATAAAGATGAACAAAAGTATTTAATGTTATATATTTGTAGTTTATATTAAGTGTTATACACTTCTTTTATCTATGGTGTTATGTATATATACAAAGCTATCTATGAACTCTTTACTCTAAATTTCTCACATATTTTCTTTAGTTTATAATTTGTACACTTTAAAATGTAACTATATTGTATTCTTGCCTTGGGCGTTGAATAAATAAAATAAATAAAAATAACGTCCGAAATGTAAACAAAATTTAAAAACACTATCTTTTACCAATTTGAATTCAAATTCGTTCGCGCCATTCAAAATCCTCACGTGGCAACTTCACACACATCAGACAACCCTAAAGTTTTGACATCTTATCAAAATAAACGTAACATTCTGACGTTTGCAAAAAAAGTCAACATAATTTTGCCAAAATACCGAAACTTTAACAACAAAACCCAATATTGTTATGTTAATACAACCAAATTATACTTTGTGTAGTTAGTAATATATTAAAAATAGTCTAAACCAAAATGGCATATCAGACATTCCGTCAAGAGTATTTAAATATGCCCATAGTGACTAGGGCGTACACTACAGCATGTGTTATAACAACAATAGCAGTAGTAAGATAAATGATAACTAAATATATATATATATATATATATATATAAACTAACCTTTACTACTGTGTCCTTTATCCTTTCAGCAACTCGATGTAGTGTCACCTTTTCAACTCTACTTCAATCCCATACTAATAGTAAAGAATTATCAATTATGGAGACTTGCAACGACGTTCCTCTTTTTTGGCACAGTCGGCTTTAATTTCTTTTTCAATATGATATTCACGTATCGGTATTGTCGGATGCTGGAGGAGGGATCCTTTCGTGGCAGGAGCGCTGATTTTGTTATGATGTTTATATTCGGAGGGATCGCTATGATTGTATCCTTTAATAAAAGACACATGATTTATATATATTTATATATATATATATATATATATATATATATATATAATTCTATATATAATAAGAATTGCAGTTAAAACAATATTTCACAAAAAACTAACCTAAAATATTATAAATAAACGAGTGTAATATATTTGTGTCTGTATTATGTGTCTTGTGCCTATTCGGAGACTTAATAGACAAAAGGAGTTTTTTAAAATATTTTTCTATGTGTGGAACTGATGAAAGAATTTTTTTTGCACATTTTTTTATTATTTCGTATAAAATTTGTTTAAACTACTATCTACACAAAGGATGTTTGTTCATGTAGAGTTCATTTCTTTTATTTATAGTTCTATTGTTATAAATATTTAAATAAGATACCTCAACAATTCTTTTGTGTGATTTTTTTTTGCTAGTAAAGTTAGGTTAAAACCATATATGTAGAGTTTTAAAATATTTCTGAATTGTTTGACATCAAAATTGTATTGTAGAAGTTTGTTATTTTAATTTTGCAAAGGACAAGTTTAAGTTTTTGCAAAAAAAACCAAAGTGCTAATGTTCAGTTTGATCGTATTTTACGTTTTGTTTTTCAGTTTGCTCGTCAGTAGAGTCCTTTTTTTTAATAAAATATATTATTTGCTCGGCAGTAGAGTCCTTTTTTTTAAATATTTCGTTGAATTTCAGTTTGCTCGTCAGTAGAGTCCTTTTTCTATAAAATATGTTGAATTTTACTTTGCTCGTCAGTAGAGTCCTTTTTCTATAAAATTTCTGGGTGAATTTCGGTTTGCTCGTCAGTAGAGTCCCTTTGTATAAAATATTTTGTCCAATATTAGTTTGCTCGTTAGTAGAGTCTTTTTTGTATGAAATATCCTGTCTAATGTTAGTTTGCTCGTCAGTAGAGTCCTTTTCCTTCAAAATTTCTTGTCCAATTTTAGTTTGCTCGTCAGTAGAGTCCTTTTTCTTCCAAGTATTTTGTCTAATTTCAGTTTGCTCGTCAGTAGAGTCCTTTTTCTTCAAAATATCTTGTCCAATTTTAGTTTGCTCGTCAGTAGAGTCTTTTTTCTATGAAATATCTTGTCCAATTTCACTTTGCTCGTCAGTAGAGTCCTTTTCTTTCAAATGTCTTGTAAAATTTCACTTTGCTCGGCAGTAGAGTCCTTTTTGTATAATTTTTTTTGTTGAATTTCCGTTTGCTCGTCACTAGAGTCCTTTTTCTATAAAATATCTCGTCTAATTCTAGTTTGCTTATCAGTAGAGTCTTTTTTCGAGATATTTTGTCAAATTTCAATTTGCTAGTCAGTAGAGTTCTTTTTTTCAAACATTTTGTGCAATTTCACTTTGCTCGTCAGTAGAGTCCTTTTTCTTCAAAATATCTTGTTGAATTTCAGTTTGGTCGTCAGTAGAGTCCCTTTTCTTCAAAATGTCTTGTCCAATTTAATTTTGCTCGTGAGTAGAATTCTTTTTCTTTAAAATTTCTTGTTCGATTTTAGCTTGCTCGTCAGTAGAGTCCCTTTTGTAGAAAATGTCTTGTACAATTTCAGTTTGCTTGTCAGTAGAGTCCCTTTTCTGAAATTTTTTTTGTCCAATTTCAATTTGCTCATCAGTAGAGTTTTTTATCTTCAAAATATCTTATTCGACGTCAGTAGATCCTTTTTTTTTGAGATATCTTGTCGAATATTAGTTTTCTCGTCAGTACAGTCCTTTTTCTTAAAAATATCATTGCGAAATTCGTTAGTAAAGTTCTTTTTTTATGAAATATCTTCTTATATTTCTATGAAATATTTTGTCGCATTTCAGTTTGCTCGTCAGTAGAGTCCCTTTTCAAACATTTATTTCGTATTTTGCTCGTCAGTAGAATTCTTTTTTATTTATTTATCTCGCATTTTGGTCGTCAGTAGACTCCCTTTTGGAGTAATTATTTCGCATTTTACTCGTCAGTAGGGTCCCTTTACAAATATGCATTTAAGGGGGCGTCCACAAGTCGACTTAAGGATTTTTAGTCCCTTTTTTTTACTCCCCACCCTCTTGGTGATCCATGGTGATATTCCAAATTATCAATTCCAAAAAAATGTTCATATTTTCAAAAAAAAGACAAATTTTTCAAAAAAGTCAATGTTTTTCAAAAAATTTCAAACTTCCTCAAAAATCTATTTTTTACATAAAGTTTTGCATAGTTTTTTAAAAAAAATCTAATTTCCAGTGCGCAAAATTCCAGAAATTTAGGGCACGATGCCATGCACCACAATTTTATTTTATATTTTCCTCGTCAGTAGAGTCCCTTTTCTATTTTGCGTTTTTTATTTTAGTTTGCTCGTCAGTAGAGTCCCTTTTCAAGTACTCATCGAGTATTTTGTTCGTCAGTCGAGCCCCTTTTCTATATATACAATATATATTCCTTGACTATTCACCCCTTAATAGATTTCAGCATTTTTCGTAAACCTACTATTCCTGGGTCAAGCCTTCACAATAATGTTAGTCTACGTATGGTCAAGAAGGAATCCCTACATAAGAATGAACTTCTTCGGTTTACTAAACTTCCAGGTCAGAATAATTGAACTTTAATAAGTACATGGACTGCTATTCCTCATATGTTATAGTGCTCAACTGTCACGTCACGTGTTTGAGCGAACTGTGCCGACGACAATCGCGAAATTAAATGTCATAGACATAGACCCGTATAATATATGAAACGATTTTAACAGGTGGATTTTATGTACATTTATAATAAATAATCTATTTGAAAATCTCCAAAACAATCATTGATTATTTTCATTACTCGAATGTTCAATTACGGTACGGGAAGTTCCAGCAATTTGCCTTAAGACAATGACGTACACCCAACTAGTTATATATATATATTTTCCTTGACTGTTTACCCCTGAAATAGATTTCAGCATTTTCAATATCATTTCTTACAAAATTATCATGTGACATTTAATCGATCGGGAGAGTCCGCGATCATCGTCGGCAACGTTCGCTCAGACATGTGACGTCACTTGTCCTTTTATGTTTGAGCAATTATTTTGCGCTCGACTAGCAGTCCATGTACTATAAAGTTTATGATTTTAAGAATTCTTATCAATTACCTTTTTCAGGCTCCGTATTTGCCCTGGGTCCTCCTAGGCTTTTCGGTGCTCCTCGGAAACGCCATTTGGGTTGATTTAATGGGTATGGCAGTCGGACATTTGTACTACTTCATAGAAGACGTTTTTCCGAATCAGCCTGGAGGCGTTAAGTTGTTGAAGACTCCTAATATTTTGTAAGTAGAAACTGTAAATCCGATATTCGAGTTTAATTCGTTCCGAAAGGGGAACGAATTTATTAATCACGGGAGGTTTTTTACAAAGGGCGGGTTTTACAAAAAATTATGAAAGACCACTTGAAGGAGGGAGGGGTCTAGTAAGATATTGCGTATATTTATTTTTACCTATTTTCAAAAAAAATACGATTTTTTCCTAAATTCGAAAAATTTTACGTATCTAAAAAAATCGTGATGTTTATTGGGGGAGGGAGGCGAAAAATACCTAAAAAATCGATTACGTGATTTTTTTTGTTATTTCGTAATTTTTTCCATTTAAATACATTGATATGATATTGATAAATCTACTGTGGTTTTCAATATTTCATCAGTTTGTCCTTTTTTATGAAATGTCTTCTATTTCCATTTGCTCGTCAGTAGAGTCCCTTTTTAACATTTTATCAATTTGTTCGTCAGTAGTCGATATTTTTTATATTTTGCTCGCCAGTAGAGTTTCATTCTTTTTCGGATATTTTGCACATCCTTTGTAATATTTTGTCAGTTTGCTCGTCAGTAGAGTCCTCTGTAATATTTTCGTACACTTTGGTCGTCAGTAGACTCCTTTTCGATCTTTTTTTTACATTTTGCTTACAGTAAACCTCTGTTTACTATTTTATCAGTTTGCTCGTCAGTAGAGTCCCTTTTGATATTTTTACACTTTGTTCGTCAGTAGAGTTCTCTTTAATACTTCACCAAATTGGTCATTAGTAGTATCTTTTAATATTCTACCAGATTGTCAGTTTCGTCCCTTTATTATTATTTATTTATTATTTTGCTCGTCAGTAGAGTTTCATTTTATTATTTGGGATTTGGCTCATCCTTTTTAACATTATAGTCCTTTTTTATCTTCTTTACATTTTGCTTGACTTCTAATATAATATTTTATCAATTAGCTCGTCAGTAGAGTTCCTTTATGATCTTTATTACATTTTGCTTGTCAGTAGAGTTCTTTTCGAGCTTTTTTTATATTTAGTTCGTCAGTAGACTCCTTTTTTCGTATTTTATCAACTTGCTCGACAGTAGAATCCTTTGTAATATTTCATCAATTTGTTTGCCAGTAGTTGAGTTCTTTTCAATATTTTATCAGTTTGCTCGTCAGTAGAGTCCCTTTTTTATTTTTTTACTATTGCTCGTGAACCATGCTCGTATCTCGAAGCAATTTTTATATTCCATATTAATAAATTGAAATGCCAAAAAAGGGACTCTACTGACGAGCAAAAATGCCAAAATTGAAAAAAGGACTCTACTGACGAGGAAAATAAATAAAGAGAACAATAAATAGAAAAAAATGACCCCTTGCACGTATCGCTCGTATCTCGAAGTATTTTTTTTTCATTTGAATTACATTGAAGTGCCAAAAAAGGGATGCAAATTTAAAAAAAGGACTCTACTGACGAGCAAACTGAAATAAAAAACAATAACTAGAAAAGGGACTCTACTGACGATCAAACTAAAATAAAAATCGTAAAATAGAAAAGGGACTCTACTGACGAGCAAACTAAAATACAAATCGTAAAATAAAAAAGGGACTCTACTGACGAGCAAACTGAAATACAAAACATTTTGAAAATGCAGACTAAAAAGCAGTATATAAATTTTTTCATGGAAACAAACTTTTATCACTATATAAAATAGACAAACGTATACACAATTAGGGTCAAACGATTCAGAACGATTTGAAATTCAAAGCAATTCGAAAATGGGTGGTTTTAATATGGATATTTTCGAATTCCTTTGCTCTCAAGGGCTCAAATGCTTCCAAATTAATAAAAATAAATTTTTCGAAAGTCTTATTATTAACATTTAGACAGTCCGCAATTCAATTAAAAATTTTGTATATTCATTATTAACATATACCATTAAGTAAATTCTTGCAGTCTTGTAATTTTGATGGCAATTTATTACCGATAATTTGAGTGTCAAAATCACCAATTCCATGATGAATAGATATTTCGTTAAACAGTCCTCACAGATTTAATTGAAGTTTAAGTGTTTTATAAATATTTTCAAGTAAAATTCACAAATGCTATCACAGATGCCGGAAGAATACATGGTAATAATGAGTATACGAAACTTTTAATTGAATTGCGGACTATCTAAATGTTAATATTAAGAGCTAAAACTTGCAGAGAATTTTTTTGTTATTAATTTGGAAAAGTTTGAACCCTTGGGAGCAAAGAAATTTGAAAATGTCCATATTGAGGACCACCCTAATATATATATATATATATATATATATATATATATATATATCGATGCTTTTCTGACGCAACCTCGTAACTCGATTTTTGACGATTTTGAGTTTTAATCGGAAAATCAATCACTAAATATAGACGCATAGATCTGTGAAGTTTGTAAAAAAAAAATTTGTAAAAATGTGACATGCGCAACCTCGTATCTCAGAATACATGGTGGCGTATATGAACAAGTTTCGCTGTCAGCAATGTTGTTTAGTTCAAACTTTCTAATAAAAATTATTATTCAATTAAGTTATTTGTTATTAAAACTTAATGAACGATAGTTAATAAATATATTTATTATTTACTTACCGCAAGTTATAGTAATTTTCCGAAAATTGAAAATGAAACTTTTTGCATATTTAACGTTTCAGAGGTTTCTGAATATCTTGACATACCTTAATAAAATGGATGTATGTGTTTGTGTGCGTGTGTGTGTGTGGATATAATTTTCTGTCCACGTTTTCGGGAGCACAGATCAACCGATTTGAAACATTCAAAAAACAATCGTTTCCTATTGAGAAAACAGAGCATCCGATTTGAATTATTTAAAAACATTCAATTTGTATTGATGACGTGGTGATTCTGGAAAAGACAGGGAAGTAGAATTTTTTTGTCCATTTTTTTTTAATTTACAATTATTTCTTTGTTTAAATATGAAAAATAATTAGGATTTTAATTTTGATGCTAGCTAAAATTCTAAAACTCTCTTATATACTTCAAATAAATAAATTTAAATTTGCAAATTAGTTTATGTAATTCTTAGAAATATATATGAGATATGTTTTTTTTTACTTTTATTTACTTTTTATGTAAACATATATAAACGTCGTTGTCCAGTTTATTCTTATATTTTGTCATTCAAATACACATAACAAAAGTTACAGTACTTACAATAATCTATTTGTAATCATTTATTATTCCTCGATTCTATTTAATTACGGAACGGGAAGTTCCACCAATTTGCTTAAAGGCACGATGCCATGCACCACTAGTTATATTTTATTATGTTGAGAACAAAATCACAGTAAGCTACAAAAATTAAACAATTATCAATTCTTACTGACAATAAATGAAATTAAATTTTGTATTTTTTAGAGTTAGATAATGTGTCATCCGCAGATAAAAAATCATTAAATAAAGAAATAATAACAAAAAAGAATAAAAGTAACAATAAAAATGATAATCACAAAGTAGTAAATTATAAATCCATGAAAGAGCTAAATATCCTAGATATTGAAATACCTAACCTATGGCCAGATACTATATTGTCGTAATTATAAACTAACATATACCACAAGTTTAATAATGTTTGTTTTTTTAATTAAGAATTATTTAAATTGTTGATCGATTCTCAAAATAAAACAATTGAAGAAAGTTATTCATGTACTCTTATTTGAAAACAGCATGACGCAACCACGTATGTTACATTTTTTTCCGTGCGACAAACACGTATCTCAAAGAATTGAAGAAAAAATAATGATTAATTGTTTGTAATATCATACTTGTCTCAAATAATTGTCACAAGATTGAATATTTTTAAATTTATAAAAAAAATTGTTAACAGCAGTTCAAAAATTCGTTATAAAACGTTTTTTGTCTCTCCTGAAAAGTAGTAGTTTCTGAGATACGAGGTTGCGTCAGAAAAGCATCGATATATATATATATCATTTATCCTTTCAGAAAGTCCCTATTCGATGAATACGTCGAAGAGCCCCAATACAACCCTCTACCGCCCGAACAAAGACCAGGAGGCTTCAATTGGGGCGAACCAGAGCCCAGACCAGAAAATGCGGCTGGTGATCATGGTGATACTAATAATAGGGATAACCAGCAACGAGGGAATAACAATCAGTGATTAATAAATCGAATAATAGAATTTATGACAAAAAAAAAATTATATTTTGTGTTGACGGATTGATTGTTCTTATGTTTCTTTGTTATCATGTGTGAATCTTTGTAAGTGGTTGTACATTTTGTAAATTATTTTATAAATTAAAATATATATATTTAAATGAAAAATAAATGATTATAATTTACTAGGTGTAAATAATAGACTTAGAGACCGATTCTACCGCGTAATAGACAAATGTTATGGCAAGGCCATGTTATCCTCCAACTTCCATACATTTATGGTAGTCATGCTAGTTATGCTTATTTATCTATGATGGTAGTGAATCATACTGAATACTGTCAAAATATTGTGTATTTGATGTGCATTTAGGCGTTTTACACATAAACTGCAACGTCACTTGTATGTTACGAAGCCGAGTCAGAAAGACCCTGTTATCTAACATCGTTTTTTTGGCTTTTGTGCGGTTTCTGGGTTAAATTTTCTATCTGACAACCTTATAAATACGCTTGACTGCACAGCGACCGCATGGCTTTTTTCAATACTTAGAACGAATTTGTATGGAAAGTTCAAATTTTGTACAATTTTTCCAAAAATTCGAGTTATTTTTGTACAAATGGTTTGAATTTTAAAAATTATTGAAAAGTAGACATACACGGAGTACATTCTAAAAGGGCTGTCAGTCAAATTTTAAATAATTTTTATACTTAAACCACTGGTCTTCCACCGCCCTACAAAATTTAAGTATGTTCATTAACATCAGAAATTGTGTACGTATAACGTAAAAGTAGAAAGAACTCTACTAATGAGAGAAAATTAAAGATAAAAATTGAGAAAGGATACTACTGACAAGCAAAATGCGAGATGGATAATTGAAAAGGGACTCTACTGACGAGCAAACTGTAATACAGAATGTAAAAAAGAAAAGAGACTCTACTGACGATCAAACTAAATTATAAAAAAATAGAAAAGGGACTTTATTGACGATCATACTAAATTATAAGCAAAATAGAAAAGGGACTCTACTGGCAACCAAACAAAATTATAGAAAAAATAGAAAAGGAACTCTACTGACGAGCAAACTGAAATATAACTAAAATATTGTGGGAGTAGTAATGGATATGAAAGTATAAACTCCACTTGTATAAAAATATATAAAATTTATTGACTATAAAAATTAATGATATGAAAATATATATGACAAGTCCAATTGTTTTTCTACAATCACTATAGCCTGCTTGATTTCCCCACAATATAAAAAGAAAAATAGAAAAGAAATTATACTGACAACCAAACTGAATTATAAAAAAATAGAAAAGGGACTCTACTGACTAACAAATCAAATTATAAAAAATAATAGAAAAGGGACTCTACTGCCGAGCAAATTAAAATAAAATACAGTAAATAGAAACGAGACTACTGAAGATCATACTAAATTATGAAAAAAAAAATAGAAAAGAGACTCTACTGACGAGCAAATTGAAATAGACAGTGAATAAAAATGGGACTCTACTGACGAGCAAACCGAATATGGACGTGAAAAATAAAGAATTGAAGATCTTGTAATAACTAAATTAAATAAGATAAAGACGAACTCTACTGACGAGCAAAATAGAAGATAAGCAATCGACAGGGGACTCTACTGAAGAGCAGAAAATAAAAATCGGAAAAGGACTCTACTGTCTGAGAACATCGAAAACTATCAAGTCGGATTTTCTTGCAAAAACAAACTCCTTTGGGATGTAAAAATGACAAACTTACAAACTCGGTATCAAACGATTCAGAATGACTTGAATTTGTATTGGCAAAAAGCAAAATCACATTAGTCAGAATAATTATTAACACTGATGTACGAAATATTATAAAATTATTATAAATAACTAAAAATCTCAATAACAAATTAGAATTCACGAAAATTTAATTCAAATGAGTCGACACACGTACGCACAGGTCGTTATGTAATATAAATTAGAATTCTCAATAATTTAATTTAAAGTTAAAAATATGAATCGTTAGTCTATAGCGTATAACACGTACACACAGGTTGTCATATAATACAAACTACAATTCTCGATAATTGAGTTCAAAGTAAAAAATATAAGTCAACTTATAGGCGACACACGTACACACAGGGCGTCATGTAAAACAAATTAAAATTCCCAATAATTTATCCAAAATAAAAAAGATCAATACAAATTAAAAAAGAGAAAGGGCAAATGGGATTTTGCTCAATTAAAAAATAAGTATAAAATCAAGGTAAGAATGATAACATTCTAGATCCTCCCCCCACGAAGTAATGCCTAACGGTTTCCGTATACCCAGGCGGTATTGAGTCCGACATACCCAGACAAAAGACCTGGTCTGGAATGCATAAAGGCATATCTTTCAAACACGTACACACAGGTCGTCATATAATACAAATTAGAATTCCCAATAATTTAATTCAAAGTAAAACAATAAATTATTAATCGACACACGTACCCACAGGTCGTCAATCGTATTTAAAAGAATAAAATAATATTAATTTCCAAACACATCATGTAGCAGCTATTTCATTTATTAATAAAACTTGTAACTCAACACTACTCAACGAATGTGGTGTGGTGTAAAATATAATAGGTTGTCAAATATCTCCCTTCCGCCTTTTTGTATTATAAACCAAGAGCAAAAAAGCGGAAGGGAGATATTTGACAACCTAATATTAATGTCGAGAATCTTTTTTTCATCCCCGACTGATTCATATAATAACAAAAAAGTACATATCATCATAATCATCATAATAATTATCATCACTATTATATTATTATTATCACACTCTAAACGTTGTTGAATGAACACTGACTAGCTCTTAAAAAGCTTACTAGTTAGCATCTAAGTGAAAAAAACAGGAGAAGTAGATCATCGAGGAAGAATTATCGATATCGAAATAAGAAAAGTATCAAGAATATAAACGATAATGTCCTAACTAGGGAATGCAATACCGATGGAAAATTTCAATACCGGTATTTCGGTAATTTTTCATTTTAAAACCGGAATACCGGTGAATTACCGGTGTTTTTATTATCTTAAACAAACGTAAACAAAATTGAAAGTTACTAGTACAAATATAAAACAAATGTATATACAACTACAAACTATATTCAACTAAACAATAAATACAATAAGTTTATTTTTTTTGAATAATAATTTAACAAAATTATATCCAGTTTAATTAATTCATTATCACTATCGAGTATATTCAGTACTTTCATCAAAAACAAACTTATGAGTAAGAAAGATCACAAAACTCATAAAAGATCATATTACATTATTATAATAACTGTATCGTTGTATCCGATGTGTTAAATTAGCATAATCTCCAATGTTTTAAAAAAATAATTTTCTACACTAATTTAAGGTCGAAACTTTGTCGAGATAAATAATAAGTACTATAATTGTTGAGTATTGTTATTTAAAACAATGTGATGCGTCTATAGTATTTTCAAACTTCGAAACGTTTTCGAAAATAATATTTTATAAAAGAAATAAAAATATTTAGTAATTATTAGGGTTTGTCGGTTTTCAAAAACCGGTTTTTTGGCGAAAATTATGGAATTCGAAAACCGGTTTTCAGTAGAAAAAGGTCGGTTTTCACTGTATAAATTGTAAATGACAAATATAGCCAAATATAAAAGATAGATGAAAGCGTTTTGATTCTTGAAATCATATCGGTTCATAGCATTTGTATTTTTTTATAGTCTGCAATGGTTCTCAGAAAGGTTTTGTATATATAATTTAGATTTTTATACTAGTGTATATATTAATTTAAATCAGTGTGACTTCTTCTTGAAGAAGTAACTTGCTCTACTCAAACTTAAAAAAAAAAGAGTTTTATACCCTAGAAGCCACAAATAAAAGAACAAAAAACTTGGTCTCAAGTATGAGAATATTTTCTATTTCTGAAAATTTTGTAAGTAAACAAAGCACACGTCTAGGTAGCAACTCTATAGTCGTTCTCAGTTTTTTGAAATCATATTTTATTAAACAAAAAAACAATTAGAATGTTTAAAATTAATTAATTAAAATTGCTCAAAACAGACAACACACGAGTTTAGCTTAATTGTTTTTAAAACTAAAATTTGATATTAACAAGTATGCATCAACATTTATCTATTTTTTTTTTT